AACCTGACTTAACCCGAATTGGTTATAGCATGAATCCTTGGATGAACTGCTCCGGCAATATGTGATATTGTAAAGAAAGATGCTCAAATTTGATTGTGGATGACATTTTGAACAAACTCCTGAATTCTCAATTGTATCTTATTTCTTAGCTCACCTTTGATTTACATTGTTGCAGGTTGCAAGGGAAGAGTTATCACGTGAATGTGACTATGTGCTGGAAGCCAATAACCAAAAACTATTTCGGAATCTCCTCTCTGAAAAACAGGGATTTTATGTGCCCTTGGTTGTAGATGAGTTATCAAGTAAAAGAGTCCTGACAACAGAACTTATCCACGGTAGTTGCTTAATCTTAAGTGTGTAATGCTTTTTAACTGGGATAAAATTGTCTGCTTTTGGAATTTGCAAAGGCATCTTGCTCTGGCCAATCTAAGATAATACTTACGTGAATTTTCTATCCAATGTTTCACTGCTTATAGCATGTTTTTCAGTTCAAGGCTCTTATAAGTTCTTAAAGATCACCTTTTGCATACATGCATTGAATAACCTTTTATTAGATTCGTTTGGACAAAGGTCTATCATGAAAACCCATTTGAATACTACTAACTATTCCCTTTTTTCTATCGAATCGATCATAATTACTATGTCTCTAATTGTAGAATACTACTTACCATATACCAATAATAAGCTATCTTTACTGACACATGTGTTCTCTTAACTCGTTTGACTTCCTTCAACAACCATATGAGGAAACTAAATCACAATAGTGTAAAGTCAATGTGTACACTAGTGACTGTGACTAGCTTGTGTAGTTGTGTGTTCACTTTTCTACGAGGTCATAATTAATCAGGCGAAGTACTAAGGGATGTACTTAGTTCACTTGAGGGGCATTGCTTAGCTCTTAAAGGTGTGCTAGCAAGAGCATTTTCAGAGGCATAAAGTTAAGTGCCATAAAGGAGAAGTCTTGACTCAACTTAAGCAATGGGGCAATGGGGCTTATCGAGTGGCACACAGAGCTTGGCTAGCTTTGCTGGTAGTCAATGGATCAGCGTATGACATATAGGTAAATTTTGCTGTAGGAAAAAAGTAGAAGATTACCCAATAAATCTTTGATATGAAGACTTGGAAGAAGAAACACTCTTAACACAATTAAATGTGAGTTTACCCAAGCCTGAATCTTGAAGATTCCAACTGTAAATGAGTTTCCACAATGAAATTGCATGCTGCTTAGTGCTTACAACACTAAAGTTAAGATCAGAGCATTTTGATCTTTAAATGTTGCCATTGTGTAACCTTATTTAGGAGATAAAGTCATCAATTTATACAAAACTAGGAGTTTCCTTTATTGAAGGTTTGTTTTGGAAGGCAAAGCTAGTTAAGATTAAGACTGCAATCACTGCATACAACTTGACCTTCTAGACTTCCCACCTATGGCATGATTCATAATGAGTCATCATTCATGTTCTGAGCAAATTACGTGACAGCTCTATTGGATCTTATTGAGGCACACATATATTAATTTGTTACATTCTTAAATCAATGCTGACAGGAATTCCCATTGATAAAGTGGCATCACTGGATCAGGAGACTCGTAATGATGTTGGAAAGAAGTTGTTGGACCTGACTCTGATGGAGTTGTTTGTCTTCCGTTTCATGCAGGTATTTAAGTGTTCACTTTTAGTTTCTATTCAATTGAAATTTCAATCGTATTTGTACTTTTTATGCTCTCATTAAGCCCCCAATACTTCAATGATTGAACTCCACCTTGCATCATGGAGGTGACGACAGTGGCGGATCCAGAAAATTTTTTCTTATGGATTTGGAGTTGCTAAACACATATTTCGTATATGAATGAAATCAAATAACATAATTCAAAATACATTACAATTGATAATTAGGGTGTGCACATTTGTAATACGAGTGCAAAATAATTAAAAAAATTACAATTAAACTTGACGAGTCTTCAAATTTTGGAACGATTATATATATAATCTCTATAAACCTTAACTAGAAAAAATTAAATCTTGCTCAATGTGATCATAATTCATGGTTAAGGTACTTTGGATGATGGGTAATTGGGGTATCAAGTATGTTAAAAGCCAAATAAATAAAGTAAAAGCCCAAAAACAAGAAAGAGAAAGAAAAATAAACCTTTCGGATAACTGGTGATTGACGCAATAAGTATGTAAAAGCCAAAAAAAAAAAAGAACAAAAGTAAAAGCACAAAGAAAAAATGACAAAGATGTCAGGCAGAATTGAACCCGCAACTTTTGTTTAAAACTGATGGGTCTCTATCGCTGGGCTGCATTGGAAGTTCTACATATATTGTTGCATTGTATTTTATTTATCTAAACTTTATAGCAAAGAAAACTAATAAGAATTTTCCGGATCCAGTATGGGTTCAGCTGCCGCCACTGGTGACGAGTTTGACTCTCTTGCTCCTATGAATTTTTAGGTCACGAATTGACAATGAGCTATTGAGCTGCAAAGAAAGATGTAGATTTCTGGCTTCAGTTACTATGTGAACATAAAAGCTGTCTTTAGGGCATCTAAGATTCCAGGTGTCTCACTTGTTTGTGGGCATTAAGGAGGTGGTTGACGGCCAGGGCTTTGCTCTGTCTGGATTACCCATTAGTGGTATGGAGTAGGGGATTAGGTATTGTAGGGTTTTATGGAGTGATTCAATAAAATCAGTATTCTGATTTAAAACAGTGATGGGAAATCACTCACTTTTTTCATGATTTCATCTTTCATGCTCTCTAATAACTCGTTAGTTTGTGAAAGATATACTGGCAGTTCTTTTCTAGTTCATCTATTGCTAATAACAACCTTTCTCTTTTATGATAACATTCTTATGTACCCTGTCTTCACTGCAGACTGACCCAAATTGGGGCAACTTTTTGTACAATGAAGCAACAAGAGTGATCAATTTGATCGACTTTGGAGCTGCACGACATTATCCTAAGGCCTTTGTAGATGATTATTTAAGAATGGTAATCTTTTAGTTCTTTACTCACCAACCCCAGGGGAATAATAATATGTTATCCTTGCATTGTATTTATCCTTGTTGCATAATACTGAGTATTGTCTGCTGTCTAGTTCTCATTTAAATTGTTCACAAACACAATAGTCAGAAAGTCTCCATTAGAAAAGGGAAGAGTAACCAGAAATTTAAATTTCCTGTTGCTTTTTCTAGGGGAAAAGAGAAGAGTAACCAGGTAAAATTTCTGTTTCTTTTCTAGGGAAATTGATTGTAGGTTGTTTCCTGAAATAGAACTGCTTAGGCGTTTATGACATTTGAAACATAGTAGACGACTGATAGGATGCGACGCTGGCCTAGTTCTGAGAGATGTGGATGTACTTGGCATATTTATCAACTCTTTTTGACCAAACTGAAAATGATAGTCTAGCCTTCTTGGATTTTACAATATACTACATATTAATATGATCATCCTCCAATTCCATTTCAGTTATCTGAATAGTAAATATTTTTAGGTGGTTGCTTGTGCAAATTGCGATAGAGATGCTGTGATAGAGATGTCTCGGAGACTTGGCTTCCTGACAGGGGAGGAATCAGAGATAATGTTGGATGCTCATGTTCAGGCTGGTTTTGTTGTTGGCCTGCCTTTTTCAAGGTCCGGTGGTTATGATTTTCGTTCCACCAATGTTACACACAGCCTCTCAAATCTAGGGGCAACAATGCTTAAACACAGATTGTCGCCTCCACCTGATGAGGCTTACAGTCTTCACCGTAAACTTTCTGGTGCATTTTTGGCTAACATCAAGCTAGGCGCTGTTGTGCCTTGCAGAGAAATGCTGTTGGAAATATATGAGCATTACAGTTTTGGAGAAGATAGTGATCAGATATTATCAAGTGGATCAGTTTAGTGAAGGAAATGTCTAGTATATCATTTAATTATTGATTGGTATACATAATAATTCAAGGATGTAATTGTGCATCCTTCAACTGTACAGATTCTTTTTCATTTTCCCCCAGTTTTGGACAATTTTGCATTGATTATACGAGGGAATTGTAGCATGTCTATTTTTATGGGGAAGGCTTCGTACATTTTAGGGTGGAAAATCGAGGCCTTTTCATTTCTTACATATTAGAAGCAACTAGATCTGTGGAACATTAATATCCCATCCTAATTCATACGAGATAGCTGATGATGGGTCTTAAACTTCGTTCTTCATGTTCTCAAATAATGTAAACTACTGTAGTATTTGAGAAACTGGGGTGCTCCCATGCATAAACTTTTAAGTATTATATTCTTTGTTGTATTATACCTTTGTTATTGTTTGTTGAACCATTAGTTTTGTTTCTATCACTTTGTTTTTGGGTATTGCACATGATAGGATTGACCAAAGAAAAGAGAGTAAAATAAACGTGAGTTATTTTGGATTTTCATTTATTAATACGAAGTATATCAGTAGATAATTTAAGGCAGATTTCTTCAAAAAAAATAAAAATAAAAATAAAAAAATAAATAAATTGATTTGAGGCAAAAGTTTTTCTTTGTGGTTATTCTAATAACCAAATTGATTTGGGATCCATAGTTACTCAAAAACCTTTATGGATGAGCATCCAATCCACTGCTTATGAAGGGAGAAGGCTTAACTTATTCGGAGTACTGTCGAAGAGCCTCTTTAAGAGTATTTTGAGGATGTCAAAGAAACAACTCTACCAAAACATGAAGCTAATAACCGGGGTTCCAAGATTGTTTTTACCTTCTATCTCCAATGGTAAGCTGATTGTCAAATTAGCTTGCCATGCCATCTAGGATTTCAAGTTAACCCTCTTCGTAGCTATTTTGTACCTCAATGATAGGTACTAGCTTGTTATTGAAATAATCTTGACTTTCTCAATAGCTTTTTCAAATTTAATTTTATATACGTAGTGTATATATATATAGGAGCAGGTTAAAATGAGAACCTCTCCTATAATAAGAATTAGGAACTTATCATAACTGTTGGATTAAAATACACTGGACGACCGAGATTGATTCAAATTAATTAAATTAATGTACTCCGTACTTCATCGAAAAAACACTCGTTTCTTTCCCCTTTGTCAGTGGCACCATTTTCTCTCTCTTCCAGCTATATTCAAGCTTTCTCACCTCAATCATCAGCTCTAATTGTAGGAATTTGCTACAATTTACACTCTCTTTCAATCAATTGTTGAATGCGCTGCAAAATTTCTGAACGATGAAGGTAAGTATTGTGAATTTGGTATAAATCGATTGTTAGGGTTTGAATTTTTTTCACCTACTATAATCAGATCATATAGGTATGAAACTAACTTATTTGCAAAATCGCAACTTGCAATTATAAATTTAGCACTCTTAATTTATTTTTTGAGTGATTTAGGTTGTTTTTATTGAGAATTATGGAGGTTGATTTTGTGCGAAACTTCAGATATGCTGCTAATGAAAATTTGAGTAGATTCTTATGAAATTTTCACTATTGATTTTGATCTGATTTTTTTTGTAACTTTTGCTCTTTTTTTTGTTTTTTTAGTTCGAATTGATTAAGAGCAGCTTAAAGCCTAGAAATTTAGATAATAGTCGTCTACTTTTTGATTTTGACATTTGAGCATGAATCTAGTTGTGTTGTGTGTAAAAATTAGTGTACTGTGTTTAATAGTGGAGTAAAAACCGCATTATTTGGTTAAGTGGAATTAGTGGATAGGTGTGGTGTGATTGTGTGAGTTGCATGATCATGGATTGATAGATGCTGCATTTGATGGTGTTGTTGAAATAGTTAAATTAGATATTTGAGCTTAATTTATTTTTAAGTTAGTAGTTGTGGTGTGATTGGCCTCTTACATGGCATTAATCTAGTTCGTGTTTGGTGTGGTCATATGGAGCGATTTAGCTGTAGTAATGAGTTTTAGCTTTGCAACTATATATGAGGTGCCCCTCAATAATTCTTTAGTTCTTGTACGGATGAGGCTTGATTATTGGCAAGCTTATAGTAATGCTATCTTTTCTTCAGTTGATTAGCCAGTTCATGCAAGTTTTTCTTACATATTGGTTTTGATGGTAGCCTTCTGTCATACCTTACAATCCTAGGATAAGTGAGCTTGAGTTTCTAAGTAATAAACGTCGATGAAAATTAGTTAAAAGTAAATCAAGTATTTCTAAAAGTAGATATAAATGAAATTAACAGAGTACATAAGGTTGGATATCATAGAGTCTTTTTCCACTGGATGATGGACAACTTTTGTTTCTCTTGAAGTTCTTTCAAGACCTTACAGGTACTCTAGATTTTTCTGCACTCAAATATCTGAAATTTTTTCTTGTAGAAGATGTATACTTGTATGACTTGATGACTAAAATTTGCTAAAGTAAGATAAAAATATGTAAATATAAATTAGCTCACTTTAATAGTAAAATTATTTCTTGCTAAGGTAAGTATCTAGCTCATACTATCGTAGTAGCAAAAGTATCTAGCTTTTCAATGCCATAATAACTTGGTGAAGAACAAAGTTTGGAAACTTGTAACTTATAGCCTGAAATTATGTTTCCCCTTGAACAGCATCTTTATTGTTTTTTCTTTCTATGCCTTGGTTAGTATTGAAACAGCTGTTTAATATATTGAGTCAAATAAATACTTTATGCAGGTTATTATGGCATTGATAAGCTGTTGCTGATATATATATATATATATATATATATGGGTTTGCAAAAGTGGGATTCGGGTTTGAAGAAAAATAATGTAAGGCTTTCACATTTCATGCTGGTTGTTGGTGCTTTCAATTCTTGCAATCTTCCATGTCGTTTACTAAGTAAAATCTGTGGCTTGCTATTTTTAATAACTTTTACAAGCTACTGAATGTTGGAGATTTAGTTAGCTTTTCAGAAAATTGATATTAATTCTTTGCCCATTTGTTAAATGAGCAACCAATTCAATGCTCATTTATTAAATGAGCAAATAATTCTTTGCTCATTTGTCAAATGAGCAAATAATTCTTGCTAATTTGTCAAATGAGCAAACAATTATTGGTAATTTAAATTGTAAGAGTTGTCGTTTGGTAGCCGATAATAAGTGAGGGTAATGGTAATGATTTTCTCATTTACATTCTGTGCACTCTTCGATGTACAACATCGAACATAGACATTAGTTGTATATGAAATAATTTTAGTATTAGTGAGGGTAAAGGTAATAGACATCAGTAATGTGATTTTGTAATAATTAGTTTTTATGTTCTCAATGGCACAAATGTGTTTGTGTTAATCTTATTCTTATAACCTTTGGTATGTTAATGCAATGGCATTATTTTCTAAAATTTGATCTTTCTTCATCGATATTTACAAAAAATTACAGGCTATGGAATTATTGCAAAACAATTCTCTGCTCATTTATCAAATGAACATACTATTTAATGCTCATTTGTCAATACCTCTTGGTCATTTTGTCAAAAATTAATATTTTTTCTTTGCTTATTTGTCAAATGAGCAATTAATTCTGCTTATTTGTCAAATGAGCAAAAAATTCAATGCTCCTTTGTCAAATGAGCAATTTATTTAATGCTCATTTGTTAAATGAGCAAACAATTCATTGCTCATTTGTCAAATGAACAATCAATAAACAAGTTGTCAAATGAACAAACAATTCTTTTAGAAATATTAATTTAAAAATCTTCACACCAGTATAATGATGTTCAATACAAAATAAAAAATATATTAATCAATACAAAAATTTAACAAATGTTCTAAATATCATAAAAAAAATGTTCATAAAATAATAAGGGGATGTGCTAAAAATATTATATCAAATATGTATGTAAAAGTATCACTACACTTTCTTTGGACAATTTTGAAAATAATGATGACTCAATTCCCCACAACCTCTAAATAATCTTTTCTTTTTCTGGTTTTGCTCTACAACCTTTTCTTTTTGTCTCTTTAGCATTTTTGCACTTGTAGATCTTGTTTCAACATTTGACACATTAACTTCACTCCCTTTCTTTTTTTAAGTCTTTTCATTTAGAACATAACATTAACTATTTAGAAAAATATTTGCTCATTAGTCAAAAATTATTATCTTCTTTGCACTTTTTGTCAAATGAGCAAATTCTTTTTTTCAAATGATTTTTCAAATGAGCAAACAATTCAATGCTCATTTGTCAAATGAGCAAATAATTCAATGCTCATTTGTCAAATGAGCATACAATTCAATACTCATTTGAAAAATGAGCAAACATTTTAATGCTCATTTGAAGTTCCAATTTGCCACTTTTTGTATCCCTATAAGTAGTAGATTTTTTTGTGTTAAATCCAGCAGTATATGCATAAGCTCTATAAAATACAAGACCCTCATCAACACTATTAAATTTTATTCCTAATGCTGGTTTTAACTCATTGGAGCACATTGAAATCCATTTTTTTGCTCCTCAGGGAGTTAACAAAGGTACTATTGTAGGAGTAACTATTATTATAGGAGTAGCTGGTACATCGGCATCGTCATTAGAACCACTATCAAGTTGTTCATTGTTGCTAATATTTGCTTGTGCATCCATAATTATCAACTTAATATATGAATCTGCAAAAAATCAGAAAAAGAAATCCGGATGAAAATATGGTAATATACACAAATTCACTATGTCCAAAGGAGTTTTGTTAGTGTTTTCCGAATATAATTTTCTTAATTTTTGTCAGTATTTTCAAATTTCATGGTTTGAATGTTGGATTTTCGTTAAAATTTTAGCAATGAGTGATCTTAATTTAGTATTTTCGTTAAAATTTACAAATTTGATGTTTTAATTTTCGATTTTAGTGTTCTGGAATATTTCGAATTTGAATGCTCTTAATATGGTTATTCGAGTTTGACTATATGATTTTTGCTAGATATTTAGAGTTGAATGTTCTTAATTTAGGATATTCATTAAAAATTTCCTATTGCATGTTACTTTTATGTTGATAAAAGCTAATTTTCGTGAAATTTCCTATTGAATGTTCTTATTTTGTAATTATTTGATAAATTCAATAGAAGATGTGTAAAATGAGCAAACATAATTAAAATGAGCAAACTAAATATGAAAAGTAATGTAGTGAAAATAAAATGAGCGAACAAAAATTAAATGAGAAAAAAGAATTAAAATGAGCAACAATTATTTGCTCATTTATCAAATGGGCAAACAGTTTTTTGCTAAATTTATCAAATGATCAACCAATTCTTTGCTCATTTATCAAATGAGCAACCAATTCTTTGCTCATTTATCAAATGAGCAACCAATTCTTTGCTCATTTATCAAATGAGCAACAATTCATCGCTCATTTATCTAATGAGCAACAAGCTCCATGAATTGACCAATTTAGTGGCTGGATCTCCATCATCTCTCAGGCAACTTATAATCAATGATTGTGGGAGACTGAGAGACATAACGGGTGCATTACAGCGTCTCTCTTGCCTTAAGGATGTGAAGCTTTGGCATTGTGAAAAAGTGGATTTGTGGGATGTCAAGAATGATGATGATGGTGAAGATGAGGCTATTAGTGGCAGGTCGTTTGCTTTGCAAAGCCTGAAGTGCCTTAGCTCCTTGAGCTTGTATTTAATCTCAAAACTGAAATATCTTCCTAGGAGCCTATGCTATATATATCACAAATCTTCAAGAAATTTACATTGATGAGCTCTCTGAATTAAGGGTGGGGCCTACCAGAATGGTTTGGCAACGTAACCCAGCTTCGGTGGTTGTCAATAAGGAATTGCCATAACTTGGTGGCGCTCCCAGAATCTTTTTGGGAACTCACTGCATTACAAGAGCTTAATATTTGGAAATGTACAGAACTTGAGAAAAGGTGTGAATGGCCAGATGGTCAAGATCGGTCCCTTATACCATCCACTGGCAAGTACATATCCCTACTTTCATTTTCACCGTTAATATGCTCTTTTTGCATTAGTAGTGCTTAAAATAGGTTGATGTCTGTGTTGTTTGTCAAAAAACATTTATAATTATATAATATGGTTGCAGAAGCTGTCAGTGCTATTTGTTGTTTTTATGTTACATGATTTTACTATTTGATTGTCTATTATCCACTTATGGTCTTTCATCAATTTTAATTTTAATCAAAATTTGCTTAGGTTTTTTTATTCCTCCATTGCAATATGGTTTGTTGATTATACTGGGTAGGGGTGTTCATATCCGGGTACCCGGATCTTCGGGTAGTTGATAAGTTGGCCCGTGTCCCGTCCCGGATAATTCGGGTACCCGGTCCGGGTACTCGAATTATCCGGGACGGGACACGGGTACCTGAATTTGATTTATTTATTTTTTAAATAAGTTTGTACCTAAAACCTGGTTTATATCTTATTTCAAGTTATAAATCTTCCATTTATCACAATTCTATTTGTTTCTTTTTTAGTTTATTTTCAAGTTATGTATTTTGGTAAAGCAAGTTCTCTATAAGCATGCTGACTTGTTGTTAGCTTTGGTATATCAGTATCCGATAGTATCCGATGAACTTCCTGCTCCAAGAAAATCCAGAAGTTGCCTAAACTTCTTCTCCCAAACTGCATTGTTCTCAGCAATTTTTCTGTCCATGTCATTCTTAACAGCTTTCCAGTTCTGCTTCTGTTCTAGCATTTTCAACATATTTTCTTGCATCTTCAATTGCTTGATCTGCTTTTTTTTTTTTTTTTTTTTTTATTTTAACGGGTATCCGGGTACCCGAGATTAGCAAAGCTTGTCCCATGTCCCGGCCCACGAAACTGCTATTTTAGCGGGACGGGTATCTGACCCGAAAAAAACAGAAAAATTTGTCAATTTCCCATCGGGTTTTTTGCGGGTCATCGGGTAATCGGAACGGGACAACCGGGTCGGTCTTTTTTGAACACCCTCAATACTAGGAGCTGGATAATCAGTGCCAACTGACTCTGATGTTCACTTTTTCTTTTCCCTATTTGCAGTGTCCATATGTCGGTATTGAGACATTGTAGGGACATTTTAGCTTCCTAGATCAGAAAAACCATATTATCATTCTGGGTTAATCCACACAAAGGTTAAGGTTAGTTGACTTTTGATTCTTAAGTTTGTCATGCATTTCATTTGCTACTTAGATTTTTATCCTGTTATCTGTGATACTTCAAGCCTTTTCTCTCTGCAACCTCAGTTTTTGTCCAGACCCTTGCTTGATCCTTATTGATTTTTTATTTTAAATGGAATCCAACGAGGCAACAACACAAACACAAAAAAAAAAAAAAAAAAAAAAAAAAAAAAAAAAACCCCTCTGTTTTTGTGTTGTTTTTTTAGATAAGTTTTATTCTCAATTCTAAAACTAAAGTGTATCCGTAGTATGCCTTGTTTCTCTGAGTGCTTAGTATGTACAATATTACAATATGGAGTAATTGCATAGAATAAACAATCCCTGAATACTACCTAAGTCTTTGTTGCTGGCCATATCTTTTAATTCCAGAAAAAAATTGTTGGTATGGACTCCAATTGTTTCCCCCCCTATCTTTTATCTAGCTTTTTTTGTACTGATTGTCCATTAGGCATGCCAATTCATTTGCCTACACTTTGCTTCACATTAGTGTTGTATTTTCATTTGCCTGTCTTTAATCAAATGAGCAAATAATTCTTTGCTCATTTATCAAATGAGCAACAATTTTTTGTTCATTTATCAATTGGCCTACATAAGGTGAAAAAATTTAGAACATAGAAAAATAATTTACAACATATATTTTGAGCTTAGGTAGAAAATTCTAGAGTATAAGCAAAAAAATTTAGAACAATTGCATTAAATTTTGGAACATATTCAATAGATTTTAGAACATTTGCAAAAAATAGTATAACATATGATAAAACCTATTAGCTCAATTGGTAGAGCACTATGCAAATGCATATGATGTAGGTTCAATTCCTACATAGGTTATAACTATAAATTAACTAAAAAATAGTAATTAAAAAACAAAGAAAATCAAATTAGCACTAAATTATATGAACAAAAAATTGGCTTGAAATGAATAATAACTATAGAAACTTTGTTACAACCAAACTCTCAAAACGCTTATCTCCACATTACACAAATGAACCTACGTGGGATTCGAACCCATATCTTTTGTGCATTTGCACAATGCTCTACTTGTTGAGCTAGTAGGTTAATGCAAACTAAATTCAAACGAGCAAACTAACATAAAATGAGCAAACTAAATTCAAATAAGCAAAGTAAAATTAAAATGAGCAAACTAAACTAAAATTAAAATGAGGAAACTGAAATAAAATGAGCAAAAACACACATATTAAAAATGCATAATGAAAATCAAATGAGATATGGTAAGAGAATCTTAGAGAGAGGAAGTAATTAGTGCTACAGGAAGAAGAAGAATTAGCAACAATTTTTTGCTCATTTATCAAATGAGCAAACAATTCTTTACTCATTTGTCATATGAGTAAACATTTCTTTGTTCATTTATCAAATGAGCCAACAATTCTTTACTAATTTGTCAAATGAGCAAACATTTCTTTGTTCATTTATCAAATGACCAAACAATTGTTTGCTCATGTATCAAATGAGCAACAATTCTTTGCTTATTTAAAAAATGAGCAAACAATTTTTTACTCATTTATCAAATGAGTAATCCGAGTTTACCTTATACCAACCCGCCTCAGGCTTCTCCCATTTCTGCAGAACAGTAGTAGTACCCAGATTAACAATTGATGTAGTTTTATTGGCTTTCTCATACTCTCCAATTATGCTCATAGCTTTTTGTTGAATCCCAGCTAGATCAACCATCTTCCCTTCAAAAACCCAAGCATTTCTTCACAACCATATACCCCAAAGCAGACTCCAGAACATGCTCCACCATTCAATATCAGTGTGCACCATCTCTAGCTCTAAGCACCACTCAAAAAAAGATTCAACCTCAAAAGTGCTAAGGTCGAGTCTTAGTGGAGAAGTATACCAAATGTTGTCCTGTTACATAATGCAAAAGTATAAAGAGTTGTCATTCCCCTCCCAGCCATAGTGATGGTAGTAGGCTATAAAATGGAGAGCAGGGCAAAGATACAAGTACTAAGGGCATTTGATAAATTAACAAAGAATATTTGCTCAAAATATATGTTTTAAATTACTTTTCTATGTTCAATCTACGAAATGAGCAAATATTTTGCTCATATATGAAATGAGCAAAAATATTTTTGCTCATCTATGAAATGATTAAAAATATTTTTCTTAATTACGAAATGAGCAAAATATGTAATGAGCAACATTGTTTTGCTCTTTTGCATCAATCAGCTAAAATGACCAATATTTGTTTACTCATTTTAAGAAAAGGGTAATCATAAGGAAAAGTTAGACAATTAGAACAAAGCAATAGTTGAAAGGTCATAACATAAATGAGCAAATAATTAGTTGCTCATTTCTCAAATGAGCAAATAGTTAGTTGCTCATTTGTCAAATGAGAAAACATTTCTTTAATCATTCATTAAATCAGCAAGCATTTCTTTGCTCATTTGTGAAACGAGCAAACATTAATTAGTTTGCTCATTTGCCAAATGAGCAAATTACTCATTTGTAAAATAAGCAAACATTTCTTTGATCATTTGGGAAATGAGCAATCAATTTTTTGCTCATTTAGCAAATGAGCAAATAGTTAGTTGCTCATTTGTCAAATGAGCAAATACTTAGTTGCTAATTTAACAAATGACTGCAACTCCAAACAGAACATACATTTCATCAGATATGCTATACAAAAATCAAAACCTGATATTTCATAAATGAGCAACAAAATATAAAATGAGCAAGATTTATCGACAATAATTATTATACAGACCAAGAAAACATAAAATGAGCAAATAAGAAAACACGTACATTTTCCTTTCCAAAGGTACAACCGTAGAATCTTTAGCATTGGTGAAATCAATAGCATTAGTAGAATCCATAGCACTAAACAGTTCTACAATTAAAAAAAAAAGAAAAAAAAAAGTTAATAATGACTCATCACTAATTCTCAGAATCATACTCCTCCATTCTCTACTCAGGTACAACCTCCTCCAACATACTCTCAAGATCAAGCTCCTCCAACATACTCTCAAGATCAAGCTCCTCCAAAGCTACTCTCAAAATCAGGCACTTCCAAACTACTCTCAAAATCAGGCTCTTTCGAAAAAGTTGATGAAGAAATTGAAAAATCGAACACAAACTAATAAAATTAAGCTGAAATAATCGAGCACAAACTGATACAATTATGTAGAAAAATTAAACACAATTGAAGAAATTAAGCAGAAAAATCAAACAAAAATCAAGGCAAAAACACAAATAAAAAATAATTACTCAAATAAAACTAAAACCAAATTAATAATTATTCAAATAATCCTAAAATCAAACACTGATTTGTATTAGTTTTCTATGTTTGGTTCAATTGTGGACAACATTCAAGACGTAAGGGATACATTCAATGACTAATTAGAAGGTGGAAACAAATAATAATTGATATTTTAGTCTACCAAGTTTCGCATTCTTTTAACAAACCGAACTTCGTACCCCCATTCCAACATTCCTGGATCCGCCAATTGTACGGATTTATTAAGAACAACAGCAAAGAGTGAGAAAGGCCAAACATGTTTTGTCAAAAAAAAAATGCAAAACATGTTATTTTCTACTGGGCATTTTGTCTAACAAGTGGTGGGCAATATCAAAAATAATGGATAAAGCACAAAACTTCAACTATAGCTCAAATATTCACAAGATTAAATAAGCTTGAGTACTCATTGTCCGTACATTATAAATTCGACAACCATAGTTGAAAAAATCTGAAACAAACAACGATTCCTTAGATATTGAGTAAAAATGTAGCTCTTGAAGTATAGAATCAGATTTATCATCAAAATACCCAATCCAATCGGTTTAATATATAAACCAAAATCAAATAAACCTAAAGTCAACGTAAGTTTGTATCGAATTTCAACAAATTACGTAAAATAATCGAATTTTGAAAATAAATTAGATCATAATATTGATAAACTTACTTCAAACTGGTATAGTATTTTCCCAAAAACACTGATTTGAGGAGAGAGAGAGAGCAGCAAAAAGGTTAGA